GAAAGGAAAAAAAAAAAAAAGCCCAAAACCGGCAGCAAAGAAACAACGCATCTTATTCCCATCCATTGAGCGTGTTCCTGTAAAATTCTCATCGTCGCTTTTAAATACAGCCCTTGTGGAACGAAAGCGCTTTGATGGTGTGTTCTGATTTTATTTGACAGCGGTTTGAGGTGGGGGGGGGGGGGGTTTGGGGGGGGGGAAGAGAGAAGGGTAGGGAGGGGGATTAAAATAAATGGAACCCACCGAAACGCTCCCCGTTTGCGCACACGCACAGCCCGAAGGGAGAAGGAATGGGAACCCAGTTCGGTTCTCGTGATAGAGCCGTTCCTCCGCCACGAGGGGATGTCGGTGGGGATGGTTCTCATTAACAGAGTGGGAAAGGGAGGGGGAAAAAGGGAAAAAAAAAAAAAAAAATGCGGTGTGTGTGTGGGGGGGGGGGGTTAGCGAGGGGAGGGGGGGGAGATGGCAAAGAGCCTCTTTATTTTCTCGTATTTATTTATTATTATTTTAGAAGAAGCAAATAGCGCACGGGTTGAAAGGACGATTGTCCACGTTTGGAAATGTCACCCCGAGGGTTTTCCTTTCTGATAAAAAAAAAAAAAATACGGGGAGGGGTTCGGGATGAGATGGAGATGGGGAGGAAGGAGAAGGAAAGGGTGGGGGGGGAGAAAGGAGGGGGAGAGAAGGATCGGAGCCATCTTCCCTCACCATTCACGGGGCCACCCCGCAGCACCTCTCTTTAATGAGTGTTTGCCAAAGCTTCCCAAGGTTAGGAAAACCAGAGAGAGGTGCAATGAGGTGCACCTCGCGGGGTCAGAGCGGCAGTTAATGCTCCGTAACAGCAGCGGCTGTCCGGACAAAAGCGCCTCGTCTAGACATTGTAATAAAGGCTGCAGCACTAAACAGCTTAATTTTTCTTAATTACCCCGTCTGGCTAAAGGGAAAGACTTCCGCAGTAAATAGTAAACAAATAAGGGAGTCTTGCCCAGGGATTTTTTTTTTCCTCTCCCTCCTTCTTCTCTCCCCCCCC